TTCCATTGGTAGAAATAAAGTGTTCTAATCTAGTAAATTTTACTAGTAGCCATAACACGACGACAATTGAATTGTTTTAAGTTCTCCACGTAAACTGCTGTTTGTAGAAAATGCAACACCATGAAAGAATCATCAGAATCAAATGAAATTTAATGCAGAAACGACTTGTACTGATACAAATAAATGATGAAATTTTCAAAACAAAAGAAACAAATTAAGCGTCCGAAATCAGTATTTGGTGCAGCCACCACGCGCTGCAATAAGTGCTGCTATACGACGTGGCATGGAGTCAAACAGATGTTGAATATCTGCTTGAGGAAGAGAATTCCATATCGCTTGTATGCGCAACCAAAGTTCGTCTTTGGAAACTGCAGGACGCGGATCACGAGTGAGACGCCGACCAACCATATCCCACACGTGCTCAATAGGCGACATATCCGGCGAATAAGCAGGCCAAGGAAGAAGTTGCATGCGTTGTGCTGAACAGAAGTCTCTAACAGTCCGCGCAACATGTGGGCGTGCATTATCCTGCTGAAAGATAGCTCCAGGGATGCCTTGAAGGAAAGGAACGACTTCGGGCTGTAGCACTTCACGGACGTATCTGTTGCTATTGAGATTACCCTCAATTCGTATCAAATTGGATCGTCCATGATACGAAATCGCACCCCAGACCATAACTCCGGGTGTTCGACCACTATGTCGTTCAATAATACACTCAGGAAGGCAGCGTTGACCGGCATAACGTCTAACACGAACACGGCCATCATGGGTCCACAAATTGAAGCGTGATTCATCTGAAAAGACAACTTGGTGCCAATCAGCTCGCCAGTCTCTGTGCTCAAGAGCCCACTGCCGACGCAGCCGTCGATGATCCGCCGTGAGGGGAATCCTGTATAATGGCACCCTTGCACGCAATCCACGGCGCAGCAGACGACGACGAATTGACGAAGCCGACAATTGTACACCTGTAGCAGTAGACCAATGTGCTGCCAGCTGCCTGGAGGAAGCTGTGCGATCATTCACCGCCATGCGGAGCAGGTGTCGATCATCGCGCTCTGACGTCACCTTCTGTCGTCCAGTGCCTGTTTTTCGAGTTGTTCGGTGCTCGTCGGTCCACTGCTTCCAAACTCGCATCACTGTGGAACTGTTCCGCTGCATACGAGCTGCTATTGCGCGATAGGAAAATCCTCCTTCTCGAAGGCCGATTATCCTCCCTCGTTCAAACTCCGTAAGTTGCTTGAATTTCTTATTCTTCCGTCGTGGAGGCATACTCAGGTCTCACTAAACGTTTGCCACTAACAAATAATCATAGACTATTTTCAACGTCCCGCTACAGCACTTTATTTATACGCTTTCAGCATCAATTCAGAGGGCGCTGCGCGCGCCACGCACGCGCGATGGCTCTGAAACTTTATTAATTTGCATAATATCCTATATCCATTATTAAAATAATATTTCATTTGATTCTGATGATTCCTTCATGGTGTTGCATTTTCTACAAACAGCAGTTTATTATTTATCAATCTGATTTACCAATGTTTGGTGATTTAGGTATGGTTATGTTTATCCAAATCAAAACAATGAATATTCATTCAGTCACGAAATTATGACTGCTACGACGAATTTATGACGAAGGCAATATATGCGAAAACAATAACAATCAATAGCGATAAATAGTAATTTCGAATTATAGCTGGTTAGAGCTCCGCGAGACATGACCAAAATGTTGTGGTCGTCGATTAAATGGACTGTGAGAAAATTAAAAAAAGTAACAGCTGTAACAAATTTTATTTTACGCAAATATGTAACGCTATTCAACCAAGACGTTCAAATACAAAGCGAAAACTACGTTCATTACGCAAAATGAAAAAAAAAATAGCCAAAAAAGCAACGAAGAAAAAAAATAGCCGAAACCAAGCTTGGTATCAACAATAACTATTTTGCAAGAGGTAGCAATGCATTTTTGAAGTGTTTGAATATTATTTCATTACGATCAATTATTGGAAATGCATAAAAAAGAAACTAAAGAAATTTAACCTGCAATTGTAACACACTTGCATCACGGACGTCAAAAATGTAATATAGTCCTTACGAAGCAGAAAAAATTCTGATACTGGAGGTGAACACAAACGGTTAGTTCCTTATTACTGCATACTTAAATTGTACTTACATCCAGACAAATCAGACACAAAGTGAACTGAAGTCATCTAGGAAGTTGCACATGGTCAAATCACAGGAAAAGAACGAAAATGAACACCAGGCTTGGAATGACTTTTTCTATCAGTGCAGAGCACTTCAAATAGAATTTCCTATCTTTTTAAAGTGGGCTATAATTTCCATCTGCCGAAGCTTTCAGCGGTCTTTGTACAGGTATCACAAATCAAGAACAAAATCGTAGGGTTAAAAAATTCATGATTTTAATCAGAATGATTAGAAAAAGATAAAAAAAGAAAATCCCCAAACAAATATTTTAAAACATTAGATGAAGAATATAGTTAATTGTTGGACTTTATTTAGCAGCAAGCCAAAAAGCGGGTAGGCGAGATATTGAGAAAAATTGCTGCATTTACGTTTTTAAGAAACCATGTTGTTGAAATGTGTCGTTCTAACAATAATGCTTGAATGTAAAGTGATGAATGACGCGTCCGCCTTTCGGTACTTACTTCTTCATCTGAGTTCGAGATCAAAAAGTAACGAACGACAAATATAGACGTTGAGAATCGGTGAAATAAAAATCTAAATTCTGGGATCATAGCAGAGCTGCAACTGGCATGTAGGAAAGTCCTTATAGTGGCATCTATGTTTTGACATCGGCAAAAAGAGATTTTAGCATCTTCACTAGCTCCTCATTTTGAAAAAGTTCTTGCATATCTTTGAAGATGATTAGCAGTCTTATAACAGAATCAAGAAAGCTCTATCGTTGCCTTTTCTTAAATTCCTCCCGCTTTCTCTGCAGCCAGTGAAGCAGGCTGGATGGTTACCACTGTAGTTCATACAGATAGGAGTCACGTTTGGTTGTTTTGTTCAAGCGTAAGAGTAAAATGCTCCTGCACATTTCATACAGGCGTGTTCGGGTGATATGCAGGTTCGTTATGTGTGCCCAAACTTTTAGTACCAGCATCATTGGATTTCAAAGCGTCCAACACAGAATCTCTCAATCTGTACTAGGGTCTTGAGTAGGAATTTGATGCTGTAGATGTTTCAATTTGATCTCGTTTCTGATTGGTTGAGGAGAAAGAGGGGGAAGAGCTTATACTCCTGGTCGTACCTCCTCCTGAGCTGGATGATTTTCAATTAAGTAAGTCCAAGTTCGATAAGATTTTTCTCTTCCAGGTCTTGTATTCTGCAGTGGCTTTCTAATCCTCGAATGAGGATCTTCATCTTTCCTCTGGTGGGCTGTACACCCAGATAGCAAAACAAGGTTTATTTCCACTCAAAAAAAATCTTTCAATGTAAACCTAAAAACGTTTTTAATGCGGTTTACGTGTAAACCTTCTAACCTTAAAACAAGATCTGTGACGCACATTACCTTCATCCAAAACCTTGGAAAACAACCTTCAATATAACTTTAAATCGAGGTTGACTTAGGGTTTACAAGCGTGAAAAAAATCATTTAATAAAGCTAATCTCAGGGTGAGAATAATCTTAAATCTAGGTCATTATAAGGTTTCTTTTCGCAGGGTATCCTCAACTAAAATCCATCTTGTCTTAAAATTTTAATAGACAATGCAATTTGATCCTATCGCTAGTGTGATGCCAGCTAAAACGTTATTATGGACAATACTTTTTTTTTTAAAAAAAAAGCTTTAAAAAATAATTTTTAATCCTTTTGGGATGAAAGGTTGTAAACTGCAATGTTTTTGCTTTATTTGAAAAACGGTTTTTAGTACAAACATTTTCGTCACAATAAAAAGAAAATTCCGATTCAAAGTTTTCGTAAGGTTAAATGCTTTCTGGGATAAGATCTTTTGAAGTAGTTTCAGGAGCGGGACTTGCAACCGTCGCCTGGGTTTCGGGGGAGGCATCTTGCTTCAGTGGGGATAAGGTTTCTACCAGGTTATGGGTATGGGGACTGGTTTTTTTTATCTGAGTCTCAGTATCTCTGAATCTCAGGAATCTCCGCTTTCTCAGAGTTGTGATGTTGATTAGCTGTCTCGAGGCTGTTAGTGGAGGCAGCCTTTTTTGATTCAGGAATTTTTGTAGTGTCCACTGCCGTTGTCGCCAGCGGTTCATTACTATCTTTGTAGTTTTATCAGACAATGTTGTTCCCGTATCAGCAGTATCATCAGATAATGCTCGTACATGTATCTGCATCTCAATTGTTTTACATGACTGTTATGTTGATCGTTACTGGAATTTTTAGCATTACGCTCATTACTTTCAGGCTTTTCTAGATCATTTCCTCAATGTTATTCTATAGTGGCTCCCGATCTGGCGTAACTCTTGTCTCGATGATCAAGGGCGGATAGCGGATGAAACATCTGTTTTCCGCCGCCGTAGAGCAGACGCAACACACTCTGACTCTGTGACGTCTCAAACGAGAATGATGTGCTTTTTTAGCATCCTTCTTTATATAGCAAAGCTTCTTTCTGCCCTTTTGTTCACAAAGAACGGCTGCTCATACCGGAGCAAATTATGTCACGCCGTGTTTTTATGGACTTTTCCCACTAACATTCTGCTGATATATTTCTAGAATCCAGAAATTTTAAGTTTGACAGCATATAGATCACACGCAGGTGCTGCAGAAAATTCCAAAGTGGGGTAAAGTTTAAAAAAAAGAGAGGATAAAAATTAAATAGAGTTTAAAGTCGGTATATTAATGTCACGACATAATATTAATCAAACTAATTTACAAGAATTCTCTTTTTTATGGTTTGAAAGAAATTTCGTTTCCCACGAAATAAAAAGTTTTTTAGAAATGATAAAAGAAAAAAAAGCGTATCTGGAAACTCATTTTCAGGAACTTTCTGACGGAAATATAACATAATATTATTACTTACTTCTCCTGCTGGTCCCCATAAAGTTATTTGATTCCTTGCATTGTATTCATACTGTATTTTTTCCTAAAACAAAAAGGACAGCTAATGGCAGTGAACTTGTTTTTATATCTTTAAAAGAAATATAAGTACTTCAACATACATTATGAATCTCTGGTTAAGTGTCGCCTTAATAAATTATCGATATCCAAGCAAATGGCTCTATTTATATTTAGAATTTGGCAAGATTGTGTTTTTTTAATAAATTATATTAAAAAAATAACGTAATAAAATAATGTTAGTAATGCGTACATTCCGCAAAACAAAATCATCTTCAATAATTCTCAATCTTAATCAATTTTAAATTTCCAAATAGCTATTTATATATTAAATTATTTTTTCCAAATTGAAATAACTGCAATTTTTCAATTAAACTATGAAATAAAAAAAATTTTTTAATACTGTTACAGATATATAAAAATTAAAATATAATTATCCTTATTACATAACTAAAAATATGCATATTTTATTTCAGTAGACATTGTATAGCGATGCAGAAGAGGATCTCTTACTTGATTTAAACAAATTTGACTTGGTGTAAACTTTTTTCACTTTAGATATTTAAATTTAACAACAATTTTTAAAATGTACAGTGGACCGAAAAGCCCTGAATAACTTTTGATATAATGATCGGATCATCAAGTTTTAAGAATCAACCTTAATGGTTCGAGGGGGTGACCTCAATTATGTTAATTAATTAGTGCAGACGATATTTTGAGTTTCAAAATCAGACACAAAAACGTATTTCCTCTGAATAAACGTAGTTTTTTTCCCAACGTATTCGTATTTCAGACCCCCAAAATATAAGAGGTAGCCGCAATCTGGGAAATATGATCTCCATAGTTTGGTCAAGAGAGCGATCTAAAGTTTGGCTCATGCTAATTTTATTTTTTTGCGTATTCCGCCATAGCTCGAAAACTTTTTTAACGAATTAAAAAATTTGGGCAAAATTATGAAATTCGTTTATCCAAAGATAATTACATGCTAAAAACATACTTCAGTAAATATTTACTGTTTTTTATTATTTGATTTAATAATAGTTGAAACAATTTTGAATTGTAAGGTATACGATTTTTTAAGTCATTTTAAAGTATGCAATTTTAAATGGCAAAATACAAAATTTTAGTAAAATCGGTTGATTAATTCCTGAGAAATCAAAAAAGTTTAACTGTACAACTTTTTTAAAATTTGATTTTACAGGAACTATTAAACCGATTTCGCTCATATTTTGTATTATGGAATGCAAAATTACATACTTTAAAATTATGTAAAAAATTGTATCCCTTACGATTCAAAATGTTTTTTTACTCTTACTAAACAAAATAATAAAAAATAGCAAATATTTAGTAAAATTTTTTTTTTTGCCTGGAATTATCTTTGAACAAACGAATTTCATAATTGTGTGCAAAATCTTTTCAATTCGTTTAAAAAGTTCGAGATATGGCAAAATACGCTAAAAGCAAATTTAACATTAATGGGTCCGAACTTTGGATCGCTCTTCTGATCAAACTAGGGGAACCATATTTCCCAGATTGCGTCTACCCCCTATATTTTGGGGGTCAGAAGTCGGAATCCGGTGGAAAAAAAACTATGTTTATTAAGAGTACGTTTTTGTGTCTGAATTTCGTAACTTTATCGTCTGCACTAATTAATTAGCATATTTGAGATCCCCCCTCAAACCATTAAGAGTGAGTCCTAGAGCGTGATGATAGGATCATTAGATCAAAAATTATTCAAGGTAGTCCGTTACTTTTTTGGGGAGGGGGGGGGCGCACTGTAAACTGTATAAAAAAAAAAAAAAAAAAAAAAAAAAAAAAAAAAAAAAAACAGTTATTACCACTTTTGGTGTTGAGATAAAATATAAACAAAAATTTGTAACAGTGCGTGTAGTCAAATTTTTTTATTTTCTTTTTCACTGTTGTAGTTTTTTTCAAATTTTTTCGTAATTTATGTATTTATTTATTGACAACATACATTTTCATGTGCATTAGAATCAATTTCATTGCTTCATTGCAAATACTTTCCGTTTAAAAACCATGTGCATTTTTAGTATATATTTGCACTAATTCTTTCAAACAATAGTTATTTTATCAATTTTATATTATTTAATGCACCGGCCTGGTGGCCGAGTGGTTAGCGTGCCTGACTGCGAAGCCATAGGCTGCGGGTTCGAATCCCGCTCTGGGCATGGATGTTTCTCTCTCTCTTTGTGCTGTCCTCTGTTGTGTGTGTATGATGTGCGAATGTGGCCCACCCTATGAACGGGTTTGTGGCAGTGTGGCGTGGGCAATGTTGCTCGCCTCCGTGACTTTGGTTCACAGGTGCCCACTGGGTAACGCGAAATGAGCAACAATTCGGGCATAGTATAGGCAATGATTCAAATTCAGTGCCTGCCATTAGAAATATTTAATGCATGATAGCAGTTTTGTTTTTGGGAATAAAATTCTAACAGTTTTATATTTTCGTTAGAAATACATTTTTAAGTATCGATCTGTAGTGCGGAATATTATGGTACCCCTCGAAATATTATGTAAAATTCACAAAATAACAATTATTTGAAAGAATCTATCCAAATATATTACTAAAAATATGCTTGTTTTTCATAAAAATTGTTTTTGCAGCGAAGTTATAAAATTGGTACTAATGTGCATGGAAATATTAACAAACACACAATAAATAAATATAAAACTACAGAATTGAAAAAGTAAATAGAAATGTAACTATGTGTACTATAATTTATCTCAACACCAAAAATGGTAGCTTATTTCTTCAGTAAACATGAATGGTGTTAAAATATCTTTATGTAGTTCAACATCGAAGACAATTTAATACTTTAAATAAGTTATTAAAATGAATAACTTACCAGAGGTGTTATTCCAAGTTTTTTAGCACTTTCCAGCCATCGGCCCAGTAAAAAATGCTCATTCGACGCCAAAATTTCTTCCATTTCATCAAAAAGATTTAACACTGCTCTTGCGTTCTTTCTAATGTTAAAAAAAACTATCATATTATTTAAACAATTTATATTTTCCAAATAAATGCTATTCTATTCTATTCTGTTCTATTCTATTCTATTCCAAATAAATGTTATTCCATTCTATTCTATTCCAAATAAATGTTGTTATATTCTATTATATTCCAAATAAATGTTATTATATTCTATTCTATTCCAAATAAATGTTATTCTATTCTATTCTATTCCAAATAAATGTTATATTATTATTAATTCAATTGAAAATTTATTTTTGCTTTTCAAGTAAATATTTTAAAAATGACTCATTTTTGAATTTTTTTTCCTTTAGTATTTAAATAATGTTTACATTTAATATAATAATATTACTCTAAATGAGTCGGCATGAAACATATATTTTACGCTGAGAACTACATTTTTGTTATATTTGAGTCACTGACGATATATGTTAGCTGATATTTTACATTTTCTTTCTTTTGAATAGCAAAAAATTTTAATTTAAAAATCTTAAATTTTTCTTTATCCCTTGTTAGATTGTCTCTTAGAATAAAATATCAAACACTTTTAAAGTAAGAAACACTTTTCTTATTGCATGAATTAAAGTTTTATGGAGTTTAAAAATGACTTTTAAAATTATTAGCAAAACGCAAAGCAACACAGTAGTATACAAAATATCTTCCTTTAATGCTGTAAAAAAGTGATAGAAGTCGAGACAATTATTCCGTTACATTCAAAAATAAAAATAACTGTCACCACTGTTTCAGAAAAAAAAAAAAAAAAAAAGAAACATTTCGTGGAGCGTGTTTCTTCTTCTTTTTTTTTTTATAACTCCAAAACTATTAAATGAAACAATATGAACACATTTGTAGAAAATGTTTAAAGAACATTTGGATATGAAGCTATTATTGATGGATTCGTTAATTTTTAATTTATTCTGTGAAAAGTTGTTTCTTTCCTTTTGAGCCACGAAGTTCAGTTTAAAAAACAGCATTAGGAAATTTTACAGTCACGTTCTCATATACTTTAAAAACTAATACTAAAATAATTGAACAGTTTTTAACGGTGTATCTTCTCTAACTGCTAGAAAAACTTAGTAATTTATTTTAACAATTTTATTCAGTTAAAAAACATCTTTTGGAATAGTGTTTTAGAAGATGCTGTTTTTCCGCAGAATTAACTGTTTTCAAACAAGAAATGTAGTAAGTACCAGTATACGCTAATTTTTCATTGGTCAAAAGAAAGACATTATGTTGGAAGTCCGCCATTTTAAATGAAGATCAAGAACAAAGGCATCGTTTTCTAAAGTAAAGGCTTTCATAATCCAACAATGCGAAGGTGAGTTCAAACTTTATTACTTTATTTTTAGGATAAACGTTTGTATTTTCAATGAACAATCCTATTATTTCAAATCATTAACTAGTTTTAATTGTTTTATGATTTTCCAGTCAAAATAGTATTATAATAAAAGAAAAAATAAGAAAGTATATAAAATAAGAAAGTATATATAAAATAAGAAAAAAGTATATAACAGTTTATTATTTTTTTAAAATCAAGCTGATTTAAATCATCGAACTGTGTTTGCTGTCGGTGATAAATACTATTTCCTTTTTTGCTGAGTGCTATTTTTAATAACATGTTTTACTAATATTTTTATAAAGTAAGCATTCATTTAAAAAAAGCTCTCTGGTTTTGATCAATTAAGAATTTATTATTTGATTTAAACAAAATGTGGAATTTTCAAATTTTTTTTGGAAATAATTTCTTTGTTTTGTTTAATGTATGAAAATATTTTTATGCTTATTAATTTTCTGTCATTCCAAAACTTAAGTAAATTGGTATACCATTTGAGAAATTTCTAGTCGAATTTTGGCTTATCATATTTTGTTAAAAAAATTCCTGGATTTGTTTCCTGGATTCCTGGATTAAATTAATAATAAAAACATAAAATTGGAGAGCATTTCAGCAAATCTGTGAATGAAACAGAAAAAAGTTACATATAATGCCGATTTATAAGTAGAAAAGGAGTCTTTCAAGCTCTAATGATGGGAATACAGCAACAACTATTTCAAAACTTCCTGGATTTCCCCCCTCTTATAGGTAATTCTTACCAGGGCTAAAGAGAATAGAAGGGCTAGTTCACTCCGCTCTTAGAACTGAAGCTACGATTTCCCTCCTCATGACATCACTGTGTCCACAGATCTCGGAGATCGCAAGCAAAGATATGATAACTTCCCATCTTTCTCTTTGTAAAAATAAGTTAGACTTTTTCTGGTTATTAGCCTTCAAATTTTACGTAATTAACACATTATTACCGTTCATAAACATAGTTAAAAAAAAAAACTTTCTTGGTTATTATATTAAAAAAAAACCATTTTAAACTTATAAAAATGTTTTGCTAGTTGGTGAAAATGACACGATAAATACTTTATTTTAAAAAGTTCAGTTTTAACTTTAACTATTAAGAAAAATGAAGGCATATATCGACACTTTTTTTATCTACATATTCTTTTATAACGATAAGTTAAGTTAAATTTAGAATCCCTGATTTTAAAATATGTCGTTAATAGCAATTTGTTCATACTTAATCATTAGGAAACATCAACCTTAAACGCTAATTACTGAAACAAAATAATAATTTAGGTTCATAATGACATTAGAAATTTTACAATTGTTTATAGACATTTAAATTTACGATGATATAATTTATAGATATTTAAATTGAAGAGAATATAATTTTTAAAAAAAATCATAAATATTTAGAATAACTACATTAAAAAATATGTTATGAAATTAGGAGAATTTCAACTATATACTATATATTTTATTTATACTTTTTACTTACATTTTAATTTTCTTTGACTTTATCTATTTTTTAATTCTTTTCACCTGCCTTTCTTTATGAAGTAACGAGGCGGTTTCTATTTAGATAATGAATTTTTATAAAAGTTCTTTACGACAGAATAAACGTATTGCTGTTTTATATTAACTGTGTCATTTCGGAATCCATTCTTTACATAGTTGTTCATTTACTTTAGGGAACACGCGAAAAATTATACTTTTTCCTTTTGTTTTTATATCAGAATTTTTGCAAGTTGCAATCGCGCAAACTGGCATTTCGATAATAGTTTTAAATTCTTGTAAATTCACTGCAAAAACTGAGGAAAGTCATTATAGAAAATAACAAATGTCTTAGAATATCTCGCAAAAAGAAATGATCCAATATTAGTTAGAGCTAGTAAGGCCAAACGCTCCGTTCTTGAAGTAAAAGTGCGAGCTTTGCGCCAAAGTGACGTCACTAGAGTGACGTCGGAGGATCGGCGCGGCGAGAGATACTTCAAAGGAGTGAACCAGCCCTTCTATTCTCTTTAGCCCTGAATTCTTACGTTAACGTGTGACTATAATACTTAATACAGCTTATCGAAACGTTAAAATGCTGACCAAACTTTTTAATAAAAATAAACAGCATTGGTTCAAAAATAACTGCTAAATAAAAAGAAATTACTACGCAGATAATGATACAGAAAACATTTCTAGTATATATATTATATTTATTAAATTTGGTTGGGTCTTAAGAGCCTATCCAAGATCTTTTGAACTGCAATAAAAAATGCATATTTTTTTGTGCCAGAACAAAAACTTCTAGCAACACGTATTCTCATGACCGAAGAGAAATTTTTTTTTTCTTCTTCTAAATTTCTAATTAGTTTCGGAATTATTAATTTTAAAATTTTCGATTTATTTTATACAATTCCGCAAATAATAAAAAATTTTCCCCCTTGATTTAAAATTAAAAATTGATTTACTTGAATTAGTATTTACTTGATGTAGTATTTATATAAACTAATATCAATAGTTTCTAGATGTCTTCTCTTTTTGTGACGTCACCTTTGTGATGTCATTTAGAATAACAGCTGTGATAGGACAAAAGGTGGGAATAGTAATTCTAATTTTGATTTCTATTGTTATATGGGCTAAATATTCACTACTTGTACTTTTCTAATTAAATAAAATTAAAGCTATAGAAATTATTTTCATTAAAATTTAGGATTTATTATATTTAGATGATTTGCCTATACTTCACGTGTTAGAAAGTTGTTGCAAAATATTTCGTAAAAGCACTTAAAAATTGTCTATTTACGTGCATTAAAATAATGGTTTCTTCTTTGGACATGTATACAAGCACTCAGTTGTTCTTAAACACACTGTCATTTGTATTACCAAATGCCCATCTTATTTAAACTTTATAATCTTGTTTTTATTTATAAGCAATTTTTTATGAATGTTTTGTTACATTGCTTCCGTTATGTCCGAAATTTGAAATTTTAATTTGAATAAAAAAACCCCCATTCATTTAAAGTATGAATCGAAAAAATTTTACAATAGTTCCTGTTACTAGACAGTCAAAAATATTGTCTGAGCTTTTAAGAAGAAAATAGTAAATAAAACTTACAAATAATCTACTATCTTCCGTTCTCTAAAAGATGCAACTACTTTCGAGTACATTGTTGTCATTGAAAGTTGTAAGCATTGGCGTGTCAGATCAACTAAATCATGCCTGGAAAAGATTAAATTTTAAAATAAGCATTAGAAGAGAATAATTAAAATCAAGGAAAAAACTTACTGAAACAGCTTTGATTGCTTTAATTTATGATTCTCAGAAGCATTCAAAAATAAACTCCAGGCATCAAAAACATCTACAGGATTATACCAGATCTTTAAAAAAATAGAAATAAAGGATTATTTTTTTACCTATAAGTACGTTTTTTTTTGAAGAAATTTTCGTATTCAGTTAAAAATTATATAACTGTTGATTTAAAAGAAAAATATTTTTAATCAAACGGTATTTGTTATTTGTATATGTTATTTATACAAAAATAATAAAAATAAAAACAAGATTATAACAAGAGTTTTTAAAGCTGGTTACCATGTGATAAGGATTACGAATTCATATTTTTATTTTCCATCATCGAATGCCTAACACAACAGTAAATACTAAATAATCTTGTAGCAATAAGTTTGTGGTGACCAGAATCCTGATAAAAATTAAAATCGAAAAAATATTCACATAGGGGGTAGCTAATGATTTTAACCAAGGAAAAAAATGCCATAGAAATTTGAATAATCGCAGTATTGGATATAATGATTAACAAGACAGGTTTAATTGCTGGAAGAAATAGAGAGGAGGCAATTTTCGAAAACACCTTCAAATTTCAAGTGTTTTTTCTTTGCTTAAATATTATTTTGCAACCCTCAATTTGTATGCTTTTTTCTTTTAATTTTTTAATTTTCCTATTTTTATGAGGATGAAAAAATACATACAGGGGAATCTTTATGGAACACCCTGTATTATAATGTAATTTAAAATTTAGGTAATCGGGCTTATCGGATTGAATAGAAAAATGTAAAATATGGGTTTTCGTTTCTTCGGATTAAAAAATGCAAGTTATTTATTTATTTATTTTTGAATAAATTAATATTAATATTTTACCAATAATTTAGATGTAAACTCAGAATTTTGAGTTTATTAGTTTCTATTTAATATTCCATTTTCTATTATTAATTACTAATGCATTGATGAATTCTAACTATATGTGGTATAGTTTACAACGATCTGTGACCGGGAAATTTATACTCTATTTTGACTACAAGTTTGCTGCAATTTTTCTTGTAAAATATAGGGCCAAGCCAATGATTATAAATTAACGGTATACTCGAAAAAGTTAACTTCAGTTCAGATCTTGACAGTGTTTGAAATTCAGACATTTTGTGTGCTGAATAAAGACGAACAGCGGAACCACGCAAAATAGTGTTGGGTTGCCCTCTACCGAGGAATGAGAGTGTTGCGTGGTTGTTATTCGTCGTCATCAGGAAACGCAAAGACAGATGTTCTTTGGTGCACACAAGGTTGAAATCCAGGACCTTTGTGACCATAGCCTGTGTTGCTGTAACAACCATGAAAAAAGATATAAAAGCCCGGATCGTGTAAAGGAACTTTATATATTAACCGTAAAAACTAATGGTTAAATCTGCTAATTTTGCTGAAATTCGTTACAATTACGGATACAGGAATTTTTTTTTTCCTTAGAGAAGAATGCTGGCCTTATAAATGTGCAGTCAAACTCTCCGAATTTTATAGAAATGTCTTAGACTGTAGTTGATCATATTGTTTTGTCATATTACAATATTCGAGTTTTAATTGGCGTTTAATGCTAATGGCGTTTAATTATATGTAAAGTCGATCGCCCATAAAAACAAACTAGAAATTTAAAATATACTTACATAGGGTTTCAGTTTTAAAGATGGGCGCCGGATCAAAATATATTTCCCATGGTTTCTATACGGAACTGTTGCGTTATATACACTTTTCTAAAAATAAATTTATTTAAAAACAATTTCATTAACATTTACTTTTTTACTTGTTTTTTTCTTCAAATTTATAAGTCCTGAATTGATTAGCTGAACTAATTCTGAAGCAATATATTTAAGTTTCTTACCATAAAAAAAGTACAATATTTTGTTTTGTTATGGCAGAAACACAAGTAACAATTTAAGTAGATAAAGCTTTCTATAATCTAAGTTGAAATAAATCTATCAGTATTTTTTCATTATCGTTCCCGAGTCACGTAGGCCTCGAAACCTCCTGAGTTTGTGGTCAAGAATGACCCTCACGTGGCAAATATCTTCTGATAATATTTGTATTCATTTTTATGGTGTTTTTCCCTGCATCAATTAGGTAGACCATTCAAACATTCGTTTGCAAACTTCGTGGAGCGTCTTGTATTCAAAAGGACGCTAGTCCAGGTCATTATTTACGTTGATCGAGGAATTCCCTCTTCGATAAAAGTTGACAGATTTTTATCTTCTTAGAAAGTCGGAAGCCTTTTATATATCTAAATCAAAATCTCAAATTTCACCGTACACATCTTCTGGTATCTCTCGCCGTCTTCATATTGAACCGACTTTGATTAATTGAATATCTTATATGAATTCTAAAAACTAGACTGTTAACAGCTATACTCTCTTCACAGCTTTTTATGAACTTTATTTTTACGAGAGCTATTGAATTGTTTTGATTAATTTAATTGCTTTGACATTTGAATTATTTACACCATTTGCATTTTTTTAAATAGCCATTATTTTCGTAACATAAAAAAGACATAATCTGAAAGAACGATACTGTAATGATTGAAAAAAAAACATTTTAATTATGAATTGTTCAAGCAAGAAATATTACCATTTAAATAGAAAACTTTCTTTGACATCGTAAAATATATTCATTATGCTAATGCAATTCTACTAACAAAGACATCAAAATTAATATTTCTTCGTAAATCAATACTTACATTTTAAAAACTTCCGTATGAAATTACTGTAAAAATACCATGAGTACAACATCAGTAAAATAATTCTAAAATTTTAAACCATAATCTTTGCAGTAGTATTAGTATAAATTAGAGTACTACGGTGATTCGGTGATCTTAAAGTAAGCATTACTGTAAGAACTACTTTATAGCAGATTTCATATTTCGTTAAATTTTACGGTATAAATTACCGGCACTTAGGAATTTTTTAACTGTAATTTGATCCGGAATTTTTTACAGTGTCAACGAACTTCAGTAATATTTTTTATTTTGAATAAAACAAATTACCTTTAAACATGATATTTGCGTGTTTTTCATAAAAAATGAATAAAATTAAATGGTTTATTACTGAAAATGTTTTGATTTAGCATTAAATTTTTTAAAGAAAAAGTTTTTAACTTTTAGAGGTGGAAAAGTATCAATATGAGAAAACTATGTGGTAAATTCAGTAAACAAAAGTTAATACGCTTTTCATGATATCAAGAGAAAAAAAAAGTGCAATAAAGAAAATTAAATTATTTTAAAGTGCAGAAAACAAATTGTTCCTTAAATTTTTAGATACCAGTCGATGTTTAATTGAAATCAAAAAGGAGTAAAGAAACATAACTTTTAAAAACTTACATACTTTTAGATACTGCATTGCAAATACAACTTCAGAAGAATTCACTCCATAACGTCTTAAAGCATAATTTTCGATCCTATGTAAAAAAAAAAAATAATAATAATAACGCAAATAAATAACATTTTTAATCAAAATTTTTTACTAATAGAGTATGAAAACCTCTCATTTACGTACATAAGTTTTAGTCTTGGACAACAAGGGGATGAAATTCAACAGACGTTTTTGAATCTATAGAAAATGAATTTTACTTCTTGTATTCAAAAGTTAAATTCATTAATTCTAATTAATTTCTTTATTGAAAAAGATCTTAAAACAGTCGAATCACGCTTAATATAATAATTAAAGATATTTTTTTAAACATTTATTTTTACGAGTACATACAAGAAATTTGATTACTTTAAAAATAAACAACCAATTTCTTAGTTGCTCATTGTAAGGGTATGAAGTAAAGCAATCGTTCAGGTTGCAACATCTAAAAACCTTTACTACAACCGAGTATATTTCCCGGGTTCATTACAGTAGGATTAGACTGTATTTCGCAACGATTGAAAAACTGTCCCCAAACAAAAGACATATTTGCAAAGAATATTGGTCGTATTGTGCAGATCTTTTCCTAGAGTGTCAGAATGAGTATTGTGTTGTGTGCACTTATGTTTGCGAGTGCTCAATTTGTTTAATTAAAAAATTAAAAAATAAAGCAGCTTAAAAGAAATAGAGTCAGTACTGCGCGCTCACAAGTTTTTCGCTCCTCAGTGAAATAGATACCCTACAAAAACAAATTGAAAGAAATGTTATATTCCATGAGAACAAAATGAAAGCTTTTTGCTGAACCTACGGGTGGTACCCACAGCGTCCCAGCCCCATCCTATAATAGTGTAAAAGGAGGCAAAAACAAACGATTTGTAGCTTTACAAATTTTGTAAATACTGTCTGTTTCTCAGATCAGCCACCTTCACGGTGTCTATTGCGTGATGGTTTCTCTGGCAACAGGGTTAGTGTATTTGCAAATGGTGAGCCATGGCCAAAACTAAGAGAAAAACTGAAAAATTTCTATTGTTGGACGTTGGCAAATTGAAAGGTATGACAGAATGACAATAATTTCAAACTATGAAAGACTGCTAGAACTGCAACACTACTGCATTCTAATTAATGTTACGATTAAAAGAAAGCAACGCTTTACTAAATTGTATATTTTTTTTCCAAATTGTCTTATTTTATATCATTAAATATTAATTAATACAAGAACTAGAGGCCGAACAAGAAAATCACGAAAGCCACATGCAGTCTCAAGGCCGCACGTTCTGATCTATCCTATATTCAGTTCACACTTCTTTTTATTAGTCCATATGATCATATGGTCTATTAATGTTTACAATTAAAAAAATACACTTTATAAATAAATCATGAGCTTCTAATTCATTTTTGCAAAATTTTTACCATTTCTGTTGTTAAGAATCTTAAGCAAAATATTGATTTGAAAATAAAGAATGATGTTACCATTTGTCTAAATCAACAGGTTGTATTCGCCATGCCATTTCATTCATAAGTTCATATACAATATCATTTGTTTCAATACCTTCTGGAGTAAGACCAGTTCCTATCATTGTACTTCCATTAAATGTTCGACCTTCAAATGGTAGCTACAAAACAGTTCATTTCATATTATTATCGAAAGCAATCATCATTATTTTCTATACACACATCTCACACACATAGTGAAGGAATACTTTATTTCAAGTTTACACCAATTCATAAACCATTTAAAGGGTGTAATCTAATCTAAATCTCACGCCATACTTGAATTGTTTCCAAAAACAACCATTGTTGGAGCATTTTTGATACCGACAGTAAATTGTTTAAAATTCAGTACAAATTGGTGTGAATTTGTCGTTGCCTTTTACGCCACTAATTATCGACATAAAAAGTTCGTCGTCAAAGTTTGTTTTTAGTTTTATAATAAGGTTATTACAGTTTTATTTCTAAATCTCTGTGAGCTGCATTAAATGATTTTATAATATATCACTTCTGTCCTCTACGGTTTTGTTACTACATAACAAAATAGAAATTAACCAGCAAATACCATCTAAAGTACCTGTACACCACCCTGCCGAAACACATTACCACAGGACTGGAAATGTACTCTGATGGTTCAAAGCATAAATATATGAACAATAGGATGTACCTTTCTGGTTTGTCACAGACAATTAATTGTAAACAATTTTTCAAAAAAAGTTAAAAGAGAAAAACAACTTTAAAGTTTCTTTTTTTAATATTCTAAACACAAAATCATAAAAAAATTTCAGGAGCATCTTCAATTGCATTTACAGTTTCATAGTTTTTGATTTAAAAAATGAAACTTGAAAATTTTTTTACAGAATCATCTTTTACACATTTCGATAGCTCTACATAATTCCTCTTCAGATTTACTAATTTAGATTTGGGTTAAGAAATTAGCTCTTGTAGTTTTATTACTAAATAATAATTTATTTTTTTAAAGAAAAGACAATTGGTGAAAACACAACCTAATATTGATATTAATATTTGTAATGAAAAATTCACTCACTGTGAAAAAATTTAAGTTATATTAAGTAAATAAGATTCAGAAGTAGCCTGTCTTTTATCGTTAGGTTAGTATTAATAATCAATTAAAATTTATACTTTTTTAAAGTTTTCAATTTCTGCAGATTAGCATGAAGTTGTTATTAAATGTAGTTTTTAGGTCAATTTGTTAAGATACATAAAATAACTTGTGTATCACACTTTGACAACCGGGATATACATATGTCTCACAAAAAAAAGACCAATAATATTTAAACAATTTTAAAATCTATTGAGTACTGACATATTGATTCAAAGTCTCTCATAATATGATTGCATCTAAGTATGAGTCCCGCAGTGGACTGATCGTTAAGACACGGTTCCCAGCAGATCACCGAAGTCAAGCATCACTGGCTACCGTCAGTGTGCGGGTGGGTGACCACTTGGATCAGTCTGCGTACGGACCGAGGGTGTGCGGTATTGGTCCTCGTTAAACTGTGCTACCGTTAAGTGCTCGACTTCGCGCGCAGGTCGTCGGGCTACCGAAGCGGGGGTGCCATCCCCTCCGCAGAGGATCAAAATTGTGATGGCATGTCTTCGGATCATCCTCCGGGATGTTTCCCAGACCGTCGCCAATAGCCCATTGTGCAGCTCTAGACGACGAAAACAACAACAACAACAAAGCATCTAAGTTTGACTAACTTCAAAATGTCTGTTTAATGCAATTTTATTCAATGCAAAAAATCCAGTTTCAAAAATAAAAAAATTCAGTTAAAAAGTAAATTAGTTAAAAATTTTACTTGTCTGAATAATGACTAGTAATATTGAATTAAAGTCTTTACATAATTAAGAGTTATTCATAGAGTTTAAATGTTATAACATAGCGTTGAGCATTTACATTTAAGAAATAGTTTGAAAACAAAACTTTGTTTTATATTTTAAAGTGTTTAATTTGAAATGAACTGAGAGTTTTAAAACACTAACATCATACTTGAAAATATTTTCCGTTAAAGAGCTTGATGGTAATAATAATACTTATGCAACTTATGGCGAATAAAGATTCACTCATCTAGCAATTAAATAAATATGAATTCTTAAACAAACGAAAAGTTTTATCTACACGTGTTTTCAAAGTAGGTCATGATGATCATTTTTTAAAAATAAACATACATTATGGTTGATTATTTAAGAATACACCTTATATGTAGTACAGGAGTATACAAAATTTTGAAATTTCAAAAAGTCAGTATATTATGTAACGGAAAAGTAATAAAATTGCATTTTGTTTTTCAAAAATTTTTACAAAAATGCCTGTTAACGTAGTATATAAATATGTTTTAACACTTCCTTAATTTGTGTCATACTTATTCGTTAAATACGAAAAAGACCATTGTGTGTTTCCGAGTAGGCGGTTTCTCCATGCAAACGAGAACCTCGCTGAACGTGTGGTTTTATCGGCCAGCCGAGGATGTCGTTTTTGCACGCATACACACTTCGACTCGGCTCTTTATACACAGTGCTGATAAAAAGTGCAAACCGAGCACAAAATTAGATTTTAGCTAAAAAAATTTCTGGGACCATTTCAAGAGGCTCCTGAGTTTGAAAATATCATTATCTATCCGAGGATGGTCTCGGTTGGCTAGAGGAACTCGTTTAGTGGGTGTTATTGACTGTGTACGTCCTCTATTGCCGGTGCTTGTCAACACACATACACACACACGTACGCACGCACACCCACACCCATATATGGGTATGTATATAATATGGGGAATATAAACATGGGTGTGTTCAAAACATAACAGATATGATTTCACGCTGTGGTGAACAGAATCAAATCCCTCTGGAACGCTTAAATATTCTTCGTTCCATGATCGATTTTCTTCGCTCCAGAATTTCAGGAGCGAAATATATAAAAAATAATCTACTCCATCATAAATTAAGAAGTTTTCATAATATCCAAGTTTAATTTTCAAAGCTTACTGCTCAATATAAAATTTTAAAAATTAAGTTGAATAAAAATATGCATTACGACGTCTTCCCCACTGATCCTTCCTTCTTTTTAAAATAATCAATTTGCATCAGCTTAAACAATAATTACAATCAAGTAACTGTTTCTTCATAAGCTACATCCAAACATTTCAAATTTTTTAATCATGTTTTTAATCAGGTTTTTAATTTTTACACCAACAACAAAATGCAGCCACTCAAACTGTATTCCTTTTTTTTATATACTTATATTCAGTCGGATTTGCATTTTGCATGAATATAATCATGGGTTATTTTTTGATTTACAACTAATAATGATCATGGGTTTTCATAATATGCTTTTAGCAGCACTAATTAATTTTATTAAATTTATTTTAATAAAACTATATTAAAAAACTAAATATATTTTATTAAATTACTTCTTAAATTTTATTTTTCAAATAATACACTATAAGTACACGATATTAAAATTTAATTAGTAAATTAATCATTAGTGTCTGATTTACTATGATTTGATTTTTTGTTCAATTCTATTCTTTTATATGCCAACCATAATTTTAAATAGTAAATTCGGATATAGGAGTACAGAACGAACTTGTAAACACTAGATGTAGAAATGATTACTAAGCAAAAACCACTTGAATAAGCTATTGGGTGTTATTTTGAAAGCCACAAAATAAAACTCTTTCAGAAAAATCCGTAACTTGCTTCAATTAGTTTGCATGATATTCTCGGTGATTGATCGTCAAAATATTTGAAAACTTTAACGCTATACATATCAACACTTAATATACCTATTTCTATCATAGCCAGTCAAATGACCGGACTTTATCTTTCTTGATTGAATGCATGACATATGGCTGTTAGGAAGGAAATAAACTAAAAAAACTGTATATTGCCAATTGTATATTGCCAATTTTTATTACAAATTTTATTTTTATTACATTTGAAAATTGTATATTGCCAATTTTTATTACAAACACAAAGAATAAGAATTTTTAATTCATTGCTCAACGCATTTTTTACATATACAGGGTGTTTCCATTGTGCATTTTCCGCAAACATATTTCTTCTAATTATTGTTGTTTCTATAATTCTTATAATTATTATTATTATAAGTATATATATAAAAATTATAATTCTTATAATTATTCTTATGATTAATATTATTTATTCTAAGAACTTGTGCTGTCTTGATTGTTTCCACATTATTCTGGGTAAAAAACTAACAGTTTGTTAGAAATGAAGTTAAGCTATCAGAATAAGATATAAGCTACTTAACAAAACATTTAGTTTTTGTCACTTTTTCACTTTTGTCACTTTAAAATTTGAATTCACAGTTATTCTGATTGAACTAACTACGCAACAGTCTCGGCAGAAATGTGCAACTAATCGAATGCAATATGTTGAACACGCATTACATCCTAATTTCTGATCCAATAACGCTTATAAAGCAATAAATTGTTCTCCCAGTCAAATGACCGGTTGTGGTAGAGATAGGTATACGACAAGTATTGTTCGAAACAAACGAAATACAAAAAAAAAAAAATTTAAAAAGAAAAAAAAGAATATTAACTGTAATTGTTAAAAAAAGTCATGAAGTCAAATGTACAAAAATGATAAGATGATAAGCGCATTTCCATACAAAAGTAAACTGTCTTAAACGGTTATTTGAAGTAATTGTTTTGATCTGGTTGTATAGATAATTAATTTATAAATCAGAAACATGTATGTGATTGAGTTTTTTAAAAATAATTTTGAAGAAAGTATGCCAAAAATTGAAAACTGAAGTTCGATTATTTTTTTTTTCTTGAAAGGAAAGATTTCTACACTACTTAAATAATATTCATGCATTTTAAAAATACCTTTTTCATAAAAGTTTTCTTGGAAACTCTTTAGTAAGATTAATAATTTTAATGTAATAATTTAAAACTGCTTACTTCATTAATATTCTGTAGAGAACCATAAAGCCCCTTAACGCCTCCGTAATTATGAAGCATGCACCATATAAAAGGTTGGCCATAGTAAGATTTTAATCTGTTATATTGGGGATACAGCTCTGATTGCAAATCTAAAATTATCATTTTCCCCTAAAAAAAAAATAGTAAAATAAACAATGTTACTTAAAATCAATAATATAACTATATTAAATTTGTTTAATTGGTTAAAATTGAAAAGGCTAAATGATATGTTATCACTTCTTGAACTTACAAACTTGAAAAGTAGAAGAATTGTTTTTTTTTAGTAATTTCTAATACTGGAACTTAAAAATGCGCTAAAATGTTTCAATAGAAATTTCAAGTTTCAACGGATTTCATTATTCTACAGGTCAGCTGTTTCAATACGTTATTCGTGTAAAATTCATTCAGAATTGGATTTTTTGCCTAAACAACTTATTGATTTAATCCAACTAAGCCCAGTTAAATAGTAAGTATAAACACACTACAGACTACATCGTTAGAAATTTTTCTAAAAAAAAGCTAAATAACAATTTATTTAATTGTTATTTTACCATATTCAATCAGGGCAGTCAAATGCCTATAAAAAAAGATGATATTTAAATTGCTAATTGTGAGAAAAATCATTTATTGACTGTTTTCTACAAAATACAATTAGACAATCAGAATTTTAACCCAGCCAACTCGACCCACATCCGATGAAAATCGACCTCACGTTCTTCAGATACTGTAAACTAAACTATGTGATAAGAATTCTCATATTTATTTTTCATAATCGGATGCCTAATACAATAATGGATGCCAAATTATCTTTAAGTAATTGGTGTGCTGTGACCACCTTATGAAATCACATACTTTAGCCGAGAGGGCTAATTTGTCTATCTCATGACAATTAGAACAGGGGTTGGAATTCCAGCGTCGACACCAAAATATTTCCTCCATTCTTTCAACACAGGAGGAGTTTCCAGTGACCTACACTCCTCAATCCGTGGTCCTGGACAAATAGAATATGAAACTCTCGAAAGTTTAGATGGCAGCACCATTAGTTGTTTTAAACACAAAAGTCTGGTATTTCTCATCTCTCACAATAGGTGTCACCACTAGATGAACTACTTAAGCCATATTTCACGGTCCACTTCACAAAACACCTTTCAACCACAACCTAACTTCAATGTTCAATTAAATTTCCTTCTTACGAATTTTAAATGGATGCAAATCCATTTAGTTTTGCACTCACGGCTTTTTAAGCTGCCAGTTGTGGACGGTATCAAACCCATGAAAGTAAAAAAAATTTCCTAACCGTAAACTTTACGGTTAATAGGATGGGCAGGCTGCTGTCGGTTATTTTATGATAATCTTGGAATAGAAATCTAACAGTGTTACAAAATGCCACCTGTATATTTTCCTTAAATTGTAATTATAGAAAATATACCTTTCAAATAGGTCAAAGTAAGAATTCTTTGACCTAGTTAAGATTATTTGAACTTCTTAAAACTGGCTGTTTCATGGTGTCATCAACAAAAGCTATAAATGGACAGATAGTGTCTACCCGTCAAATTTTCTAACAACAACTCAAATATAAACAGGATCTGCACAATATCACGGCTATAAATGACAAAAGGCGGTGACAAAAAATGAAAGCGAGAAAGTAGACGATTGACAACTCTACAAATTACGGAATTTAAAGAGTACTTAAAGTTCTCAGTCAACGTAGTATCGAATTATAAATGAAGTTTATGTTCCCAATGAAGTTCCCATAACAAAGCAATACCTCTGGGGGTACTGGATTGGAGATCGATCGTTCTCTAATTCAGGTCAAAATTACGATCTGTGGATGAATGAATGGATGTATGAATGGATGTATGAATGGGTCCACCTTATAAACAGATGTGACGTATGGTGAGGCAGAAGTCGAATTCTTGGCCATAGATGGCGCCACTGAGAAACAGAATCGACCACTCTGCCTTAAATTTGCTCGGTTTCACCAAGCAGGCTTGTCCGTGTGGCAAGTGGCATGAGAGCAAACCAACAGATCATAAATGAAGTTGAAATATAAATACAAACAAATTTTAGAAAGTTTTCATTTAAATATAAATTACAACTACTTTTTCTATAGCAACTTTTTATTATAGCATTGTATTAAAACACCAAAGAATACTGGTCATCTCGATTGTAAAACTATAAAATTTAACTTTAACAACAGATATTACTGGGCAAAATCAGGGTTATTCATTAATATCATTTCATCTCATGAGGCAATTATAAATAACAAAGTCGGATACAAAGCCTTATAAAAACTCTCTTTGATAAATTAGACAAATGGGTTTTAGTTGCTTGGATATGATTTTTGGATTCTTAATATTTAACCTGACGAAACCAACAATGGGTTATATGAAGATTTCCATTTGAATCGAAGAATGCTCCCTTCAAAGAACAATACGCTTCACTAAACATAAAGTTAAATTTACAGCTAATTATTTCGACGATTATTTCTTTTTTTTCCCTTTTCTAACAGTTTTGAAGACCCTTTAAATTATCTGAAAAGAATTTTTGATTTAGTTGGATTTGAAAACTTAATTATTGTTAAAAGTTATTAAATGTTCTCTTTTGCAATTTTTATGTAATGAAATTTCTCTCTTTAACTTTTCTGAGGTTCAATAAATGCGTACAATAAGCTTATTAATAATTAAGCAAAAATAACAAACCCTTTAAACAATCTCCTCCTGTCGTCCGATGTCAAGAAGAACTTGGAAATGTAAAAATATGCTTTGATTTGTAAACCTGTTACAAAAATATTTAATCCTGAAATCTCTTGTCTTAAGGGTTGGGCTTAAAATTACAAGGATACGGTTTTGAGCAATGATACTTGTAAATTAAATAAGCTGTTCAATGTCGGTTATAAAATAAAACAAAATGATTTCTTTAAAAATATCATTTCTAAATAAAGTCTAAGAACTTTTCTTTCGTATGAGCTCAATTTTTTATTTATTTATTTATTTACTTTGTATGTTCTCAAGTTATAAAGAACCTCCAAAAAAATAATTTTCTACCGAGTTGTCTAGGAATGCTATTATGAAACGAGTCAGGAATCTTTGTGTTAAATTAAGCTTTTGGATGGGAGGATTTCCACTACCAATTCCCTTCAGACAGGACTTTTTTTGAGAATTATATTAAAGCAATTTTCTTATTTCTGATTTTGTTTTGTTTTGTAAGTGTTCTTGAAACTTTCTCAAATTCATTGTCATGAAATATTACACATCACACAGCGAAGTTATACTTAAATGGAAAAATTAACGCTGTCAAACTCTGGCGAATCATTATAGAGGAAAATTAGGTCAAAAATACGAAAAAATTCATCGTTAGCAATTGATTCATTAATAATTCGTATTGAACGAACTTTTTATTACTAAAATATTTACAAAAATAAAGAAAAAATGTTAACTTAATTACCTGCGGAATAGCTCGTAAAAATGCACGTGATTGTCGATCTTGCCATGTTTCTGGATCAGAGTAAAACATCCAGCCTTGTGTCAACCTAATAGTATAGAACTGAATTAATTACTATAGGTTGACTCATAAAGATATATATATATATATATATATATACAGTACCGCTCAAAAGTATCAGTACACCTAGAAACTTATAAAAAAAATGGTAAAATTCAAAGTATCATAACTTCTTTAAAAATGATCAAAAATGCTTCTGCTTTAGCTCATTTTGAAGCTTAAAATCTCTACTTTTATGTACTTGAATTGTTTTTAATTAATATATTTTGCAACCATGTACAATTACACTCTAAACAATCATAGAAAATTGTATTAATTTTTTGTGAAGTTTGACGCGATGTACGGGCACAAAGGGGTTAGATATTGTTAATTTTTATTATACCATTGAAAAATTTGGACTTTTAGCTTTCATTTAAAAAAAAATTCCAAAAAAACATGTTTTTTGACGAAGTTATTGTCAAATA